CTTTCCCAGTTTCCCATGGGAGGTGCTTTCTTTTCTCCCTTTCTCTCTCTGGGGAGTGTACCCATCTTCTACAAAAAATTTTATTTTTTTTTTTTTTTTTTTTTTTTTTTTTTTTTTTTTTTTTTTGCTCAGGCTGAAAGATACTCAACACCTATCACTTGGTATTCTGAGCATTCTACTTCCACCTAGTGTGTAGAATATTTAGACACCGAAAGGATTGAATATACTCAAGGTTAAGACCTTGAGCAATAACCATGTTCAGTATATTTTGACCCAATAGACTTCCTTCATTTTTAGTCACTTTTGAAAAAGCTTTTAAGTTGTAAAAAACCACTCATCACAAGCAGTTTCCTTTGCAAGGGACAGCTGAACCTGGTTTTGTGTGTGAGGCCTTTGTTGTCCCACCTTGCAAGTACTTAGGAAAATGGGCCCACAAAAGTGGCAGTGACCCCAATCTTCATTGGCAAAAATGGGAGTCCTTTGAAATGTCTAAATGGCATGTTCATATGCATAAAAAAGCTGCTTATAGAACCAGGAAAATTGAATGGAAAAGTTACTTTCAATGATATCTAAAAGCTACCTCAGATACATTACAACAACCTTTTCTTCGGGAGGTAAATAAAAAGTTAACCAGAATCCATTTTGGAATTAAAATTTCAGAGAGCTGTTCTACTCCATCCACTCTTCCACTACCTCTCTGGCACCTCTTTATGCTCTTCAGTGTAATCTTCCACATCCTGAACTCTGCTCTTTCACCTCCATCTCCACCCCCACAGAAGATAATACAACGGACTCCAGTGCTGTCCTTCTTCTAACCCCCCAGTTAGGCTACCCTCTCATGTAAAACCTGTAACAGAGCAATACTAGCCTTAGTATATAACCTATGAACCAAAGTGATGTTGTAAATGATTTTTCAGAGTCAACTGACATCTCCATATGTCTTGCTAGGGAATTTGATTTAAATGTGTAAACCTGTGAGCCCAGATATTGTGACCTTTATCAGTGGGCTCCAGTTAGTTCCAAGAGAGTGCCCCAGAATGGATAAAACTTTTTATTGAAACTGTGGTATAGATTTAAATTAAAGACCCAGGAGAATGAAAACAAGTCTGCTTCTTAAGAAAAGTTCTTGATGCAGCTATATCATAACTATTCCCAAGGAATGTTGAAGTAAATTTCAACAGTAGAAACAAAGGCTGATTATTTTGAATGGTTGAGAGAAAACTGTAAATGGTATTCTAGACAGAGGCAAGCTATCAAATTTATTGAATGATAACCTCTTAAATTCTGTCTTCTTTAATGGATTGGATGAAGGTTCTGTCATTTTAAAGACACCAAATTAGCTG